ATGGAATTACAAAAAAATTCTAATCAATAGGGTTACAAAAAAAAAAAAAAAATTCAATCATGGATTACAAGAAAAAAAAACAAACATTTCGATCATGGATTACAAAAATTCGATCATGGATTACAAAAATTCTATCATGGGTTACAAAAAACAAAAAATTCGATCATGGATTACAAAAAACAAAAACAATTCGATCTTGGGTTACAAAAAAATCGATCAAGTATTACAAAAAAATCTATCATGGATTACAAAAACAAAAAAAAAAAAAAAAAAAAAATAACCGTACGGGACTCGCCGATTCACTGTTCGGACTCGTCGATTCTGTACAGTGAATCGGTGAGTCACTGTATAGAATCGTCCGGTTCTCTCTAGAACCGGACCAATTCCGATTTTTTAGCCAATACGATCCACTTTTTGCGATTTCCGAGTCGAACCGGGCAAGTCCGGTTCGACTCGACATTTTTTAAAACACTGGTTGACACACTATTTGTGGTTGGTAGTTTATTACAGTTGCATTTCAAATTCCCTATTATGAAATGGAATCAGTTGTCGTAACTTATGACAAATATGTCATTTGAGGTGAACATTGGAGATAGATTGTGAGTTTGGAAAGATTTTGTGGGTGTGACATAGAATATCCGTAGACATCTTTCAAGTAGCCTCCCGGATGTCAAGGTGGCCCATTCATACAAGGAAGTGGGAGGTGCCGTTGATTGTAACCCTATCTCCAGAAGATTTATATGCCATTATGAACTCCAGGAACTTGCTGCAATGGTCGAACTGCTACAAAGCTATATTTCTACCAAGACTACCAAGAGTAGGGGCACATAAGTGATTTCAACCCCACACAGTCGAGAAAATTCTCAGTATCCTCCTCCTACCACTCACTGACCCCTAGCTCGACACTTCCGGTGATAATGAATACGTTTACCCTCTTCCACCCAAGGTTCAAGCTTTTAACTAATTGCTTTTGTCTAATAGAGTTCTAACCATTGACCTCTGGCAAATGAGAGGTTTCCACCTCCCAAAATGATGCATTAGTGCAAAATAATGAAAGAAACCAGCAACCAATTCTTGCACTGCCAGGAGGTCAGCCAACTTTGACGCACCCTAACAACATTTCTTAAAGTAGAATCAGGTGACTCCACAATCGGTTCAGAAACTATTGAGGGCCTTCTTTTCCACCCACCCTTCCACTGGTTTATTCTCATGAGCCTCAGCCATGGCCACCATCTGGGCTATTTGGTGTGAGAGGAACAAAAGGTTTTGAAGGAAAGGAAGAAAATGCCAAGGCCACCTCAGATGGTAAAATCACTTGCTATAATCTGGGCCAAAGGTTGCAAAGACCTTAAGTCCTCAGTGGCAGACAAATCGACAAGCTGGCATTCCATTGTGTCCTTTAGACCTATGCCTATCGCTATGCCAACCCTTTGGAATCCTCTTGACCAATGGACGGTCAAACTCATCATAGATGGTTGTACAATTGGAAACCTGGACCCCGTTGGATTCTGTAGTATTTTTAAATATCCTCATGGTCAAACCAAAGTTGTTGGAACGGCATTAGGAATGGTTCTGGGATCAAGGGCAGGATTGGTAGATCGAAGCTATCCCATAGATCCCTATTTGGGATTGATGTCCATACAGCCTCAAACATTGGGAAAACGGTCCACTTGTGCTGGGGATCGAGTTCCTCTATTAGATGGGATTGATTGTCATACTATTGGGGAGTGAAATCCTCTACTTTAGAAACAAAGCTTGCAAGCACAAGTTTTTGAGTTTCTTACCCTCGGAAGCGCAATAGGAAAAATGATCCAACATAGTATGGAGCGAGGGACAAGTTTTATAAAAGCGAGATCCATTTACTTGAAAAATGAGATCCTCGTCTAAGTTTAAATATGCTCCCTGGATTTAAAGGGTAGTTCCCAACATTGTTAAATTAATAATATATAATCTTAACATTCCATTAAATAAATAAGGAACTTTAAAAAACTATCCACAAAAAATAAGAAACTATAAAGTAGTGCATAGTTCATTATATTAATGCAGTAGTAAATCCATTCACTAAATAAATTATGACCTTCATACTTCTAAGTATAAAATCTAAGCTGCACTGCTGCCATATTTTTCTTTTAAAAGCTATGCGTAAGAAAATATAGCCCAAAACTATATACGCATGAAATAATTTTATTTTTATTACTGCTTACTAAACAATCAAAGGAAGAAGGAGCATCCATTTTGGGGGATCGCAGGGAATTTGGATGCAATATATGGTGATCCTTGTGTTCCAATGTAATAGAATCTAGATCCCATGATGCTTAGGACCGAGAACCATATCACTCAGGAATTAGATCCTAGAGTAGCCTGGAACACAAACACTTACTTAAAAGAAACTCGTTCCCTTGAAAAGGGGAGGTCCTGAAGGCCAAAAACCTGAGATCCCAAAGAGATCCATCCCGGGAGTGACAAAATCGAGATCGCACATAGAATCACCTACAAAAGCAGGCGATCCTGATAACTATGGGTTAAACCCTGCTTTCCTTCTATATTGCCATTTTTTAATCAACGATGGCAGCAACCATCGCTCTACTTGAAGGACTTTAGAGATTTGACCCTACGCAAGGTTCCCTCCTTGTGGAACGGGACTCCAAAAATGTGATTTGTGAGCTTCTACGTCATTAGCCCAATACCCATGGAGACTAGAGCACTTGTTTGACCGCATATTTTTACTTTTTCAGTCATCTTGCAATCGTCTTCAGCATGGCTGGATGAAGGTCAATGCAGTCACTAACACCCTGGCCAAGGAGGCAAAAAAAGAAACTAGCCATTTTTAGTGATTCACTCTCAGGGCATGTTTGATAACTGGAAGGTGAGTTCATTGAAAATTGGAAGTTGTTCTTTGCTGGGAAGAAAGACGATCTCCAGAAGGAAGTTATGGGCGTCTGTGTTTGACAACCTGTTGGAATATTAGGAAGTTCTGGGTATCTATGTTTGATTACTTGTTGGAATGTACAAGAAGTTCTAGGTAATAGTGCTTGATTAACTAGAGAGACATATAGCAATGTTATTTTTTTTAATAATTTTTAATGTTTTCCCCTTTTTGGAATAAAATATTAATTGAAACTAAACTACTTTGCATTGAAATATGCATAGGTAATATCCATATGAGCTTTGATGAAAGAAATTGATGTGCCTATAAAAATCCTATTGTATTTTTTGTGTGAAATTTGATGCATGAACTTCTCCCTCCCCCTTTCTCAATTCTCCCTCTTTTCCCAACAAACTCAAGAGACGGAGAGAGAAAAAGAGCAAGAGAGAGAGAGAAGCGTCCTTAATAAGCCTTGGATTTTGGCCGTTGGACAATGGGTCCTAGAGAGAGAGAGAGAGAGAGAGACTTGGTAAGAAGCTCCAATATGTACTTAAATCAATCACCTCTTTACTCAGTTTGGCAAGTTAGGAGTCCAAACCCAAAACCCCAAATATGAGGTGAATTGCTACAATGCTCACAACTCTAACTGAAAATAAAGTAACTAATTAAAGAGCAAACACACATAATTTGGTTAACAAAAAATGTTTCATGTATGAGAGTAATTATAAGAATAAAATAAACAACACCAAAATATTAAAAAAAAAAAACAAAGTAAGACAAAGTTGTACGTCATAACTCCAAAACCCAAACTAATAAAACAACATCAAAATTTAAAATAAAAAAAATTTAAAAAAAATAAAAAAAAAAGACAAAAAAAAGGAAAAAAGAAAACTAAATATAGAAAAATTGATGCATTAGAAGCCACGATCCATCAAAAAATAGAACTAAACCCAAAGAAATGAGTCACTCCAATATTCAATACCAAAAAGTAAGAGGCTTCTCATGCATCCATGACAACACTGTAACTATGATTTTACTACTAAAACTATGATTAAAGGGTTATGGCGATAACAAGAGATATTTAATAGATCCAGAAACAGAGAATAGAACTGGGGTTTTGTTGGGTTTTAGACCACAGATACGGAAGTGAGAGGGATGTAGAGAGGGAAAGCACAATACCAGAGTTATGAAGAAATAGGGTTTTAGAGAGAGAAACTCATCTTGAAGAGGCTTCGGGAAAATGCAGAAGGACTAGGGTAGGGTTCTTTGGTAGGAAGACATAAAAAAAGTTTTTGCTGTAAAGAGAGAGAGAATCAATTAGGGAGAAGTGATAGATCAAGGGAGTGAGATGGATTTGGGAGAATCGAATAGGAGAGAGCGGGAGAGAGAGAGAGAGAGACGATAGGTACATGCAAGAGATGAGGGACATCTCTGCTGTTGGAGGAGGGACATCTCTGCTGTTGGAGGAGGCAGCAGCATGAGGAGGGAGGCCCACGTGGGCTTTTGAGATAGGGTTTGAGGAAGAAGTCCTCTTCGAGGGCAAAGTTCCAATTTTAAGTTCTGTTGTTTTAGACGAAACTTGATTTCTTAAGCACGAGGTATAAGAAACCCCCCACAAGAACTTCTTTCTACTTTATAAGTTCTGTACATCGAACAAGGGAGTTGTATAGTAATTGGGAAGTTCTTTCTTCCTCCTGACACTTCCAGTTTTCAAGCATGCCCTTAGGGATCCCACCCCTCTCCGATGGGCTCGATTGGAAACCCTCCATCGTCCATGGTCCTAACTCTCCAATCCTTAGACAAGACCGTTGGTCAGAACTTTAAACAGAATCCCCCAACCCGTAGGTTCCTAGGTCTTAAGTGGAAACCGACTCATGAGAGGAACAAAGGGGGAGATCTATAGACTCCATGAGAGACTTCTCAGACTTCATCAAAACCAACTCCTACTTGACATCCCTCTCTCAGGGGCCTCCTTCACCAAGTCCCAGTGATTTAAAAAGCGGACCGCCCAGCACCTGGGGGACAGCCTAGGCGGTCCAGAAGGCTTGGGTACATCAATAAGGCCTAGGCGAGCAAATTAGGCAGGATATCCCTGGGGGCCCGTCTAGGTGCCCGGGAACCTGCCTACTCGAGCGCCCATCCCTGAGCGGCCGCTCAAGGCCTGCGCCCCGCCCAAAGGCAGAAAAGCCCCTCGTTAAGGGTATTTTTGTGTCATTTTTTTAATACTGAAGGGACAAAATTGTAGATTTTAGGTTTATTTGAAACCTGAAACCCATTAGAACCTATTGTAGAGAGAAAAACCCCAAAAACCTAGTTTTTGGTGATTTTCATAGAATCAAAGGGTTTCTCAAAGTTACGAGAAATTGATCTAAGCATCACCCATTGATATTAGATTTAGTTTTGGATGTTTTATAATTCTATTAGAAGATTTTGAGTCCTTAAAAACATCTTAGAGGTGGAAATTTGGAGATCGAGCAACAAAAGTTAGTCACTTTCTTTTATTGCTTGTATTATTTTGAGATGTCTTCTTCGAGAACTAATCGAAGTGGTGATCCAGGTTTGATGTGCCCTATATCCCTAATTCTTATGTGTTCTACAGTTATACTTATATTGTTAGACTATAGGGACATTTTTCTTTCTACTAGGCCGCCTAGGTTCTGGGCGCTCACCTAGGCTAAGGCGGCCCGAACTCCCCCGGCCGCCTGGTGCCACCTAGTGCTTTTGAAACATTGCCAGGTCCAACAGCACAGCGGATCCTCTCTAACTAAACTAGATCGCGTCCTTTTAGCCAATGCTTGGGAGTCAAATCTTTCCAAGGTACTTTTGTTGTGCACTCCCTAAAACCGCATCCAATCACAAACTTAGCTTCTTAGATACTCAACCCCTTCCCAGACCTAAGAAACCTTTTAGATTGAGCTCTAGTCGATGGAAGAAACCGATTTTTGCACAAATCTTTCGTCAACAGTGTTCTATAGTTGAGCTGGTTTCTGCCTCACCAAAAACCTAGAAGTCCTTAAATCCTCTCTAAACCAGTGGAGAAACTATCGCCCAAACAACCCCAAAAGGCCCAACCAAGTTCATTGTGTTAGGGGTATTTTTTAGGGTCCATTTTTTACAAATGGTCTAAAAACACCAGAGGAAAAATTTCAAAATCAGAGGGAAAAAAAAGAAAGAAAAGCTTCAACACATCTAACCGTTTTAAATGTGTGTGTGTGTGCGCATTTGGAGCGCACATATATGCATGTATATTGTTAGGGGAGCCTCAAAACTGAGAAACCCGAATCACGCCTAGGTGGCAAGCCCCCCTTATTTGGCTAGGCACTGTTTTAAATATTGGAACAGATTATGTAGTTGGTCATATGAGCAGCTAAAATAAAGGAAGGTTTAGCCGCATGGGCACCTCAAACTTTAAGGTTAAGTTTAACTTTGAGCTGCCCATTAGGTCAAACAAACCTGGAACTTAGATCACATGGGCAGTTCAAACCTTCGCTTCAAGATGAGTCCAATCCACTATGATTCATAGATCTGCATATGCTCTCAGATATTAGTGACCAGGTAATTGATTGCCATTACACCATCAAAGTAAGTCCAAAGAAAATAAAATAAGCACCTGTTGGAAATTTTTAACACATCTAAACCAAGCCAAGCCAGCAAAGTCTTCTAGTTCAGAAATTCTTACAGTTTCTCACAAATCAAATGACTTCACAATATAATTTCTTTCTAGACCTCCATATGAACCATTCTTTTTGTTTTTTTTTTGGGATAATTCAGTGGGGAAGACAGGCTCCTACCCGTTTTTTCAATAGATTGGGGAGTTACATTTTGAAGGTGTTAATTGGGGGTGTCAGCAGTAGGCATGGATACTACGATGTCGTAACCTTACCAGAAAATATCATGATAAACAAGAATCTAGGTGTGTTTTTACAATGAGAAAACAAATTTATGAATAACATGAGTTGGTAAGGATCCAAGATTCTCCAGAGACTCTGCAATAGTCAAATGTTATGGATTCTTTACCCCAGTACATATGCATTGATAAAAAATAGTGCCTCATCAAGAAGGACAACATATCAATGGGTTGTTTATTTTACATATGATGGAGCATAAGAAATTTAAGAAACGAAGTTTTGCGTGACAAGAACCTGGGTACTGAACTACAAAAAGAGTAAGTGACTTACCAACTAAAAGCATGAATAAGCGAGGAAAAGACTGCTTCTGTGCCTCCAAGTAGAGGTGTCATATCGAACTTAGGATTCTTCTCAAAGCATCTATTCACTGCCTTTGTTAATATAAGTAGCATCTGCATTCAAGCACCAACTAGCATGATAGAGTTCATGCAAACAGACATATTGATACTGCCAAGGGGAAAAAACAAGCACCATGACCAGAACATTCAAACAAGCCCGTCAAAAGGGATGGGGTGCCATTACCTGACCATAGATAAGCTCCAATTGACCCCTCAAAGCGACATATGGTTCCTCTGTGCAGCTTATGCAGACCAAATATATAGGACCTTTCACCACAAATATTACCTGAAAGTCGAAAGATTCCAAACGATCATAATGAAAGTAATATACAAATGCTTGAACTGCCACATGAAAAGTAGGGCATTTCATGCAGGCTGGAAGTTTCATTGGACCTAGAGCAACCTCATTGGACTCTGTGACACAAGTGTCTTCAATAAATATAATGGACAGTAGTAAACCTCATTGAGGATTGCAGGTGAGAATGGCTATAATGAATCAAATTAAGGATCTACTATTTATTGTTAGTTGATAGGGGCTACAACAGTGAAGGTGTATAGAAAATGCAACTAGTGCCTCATTTTACACATATTATAGATCCAGGTAAACAATGCATGTTGATGTAGGACCGAGAAGGCTCATTCACAACACAGAAAAAATGAAAAAAGCAATATACGTGAGCTTGAGGCATGCAGAAACTGATGTCTCATGCTTTAAGCATTAACCTCCAACCCATGCAACACAATATATTCCATAAATGTATTCAATGTGAGGAACATTAAATGAAACTTCATTCGAGGCATCCACGTAAACAAAAAGATCTTCCTCCACATGGTCAAAGAATTCCTATTTTGTGTCAAGAAGTAATACTAATATCTCTAAAGGATAAAAATCACTTAATCATTTTAACCATTTCATTATTACTTTCAGTATTTGGAATATCGGTAAATTTTTATTTTCAAACTTACTTATTACAAAATATCCTTTTTTCGTACAATTTCTTATGGGACAGTTATAAATCATGCCCAAAAGTATTAAAATTTAACATTTCATATAATCCCTTTGCAAATTTATCAAATCTAAGATTGCTTGGAGGTTCAAATCAATCTAGGTTTAAGTATCTCTAAGCTCCATAAATAGACGTAACACTCTCATGGCCGTACAATTCAAGAAGAGTTGTGAATGAAGTTTGCTTTTGCTTGATAGTGTTTATTCCATCTAGAGGTGTTGATGCCTCCTTTCAAAGTGTTGCCTCCACGAATTCTTAGTTTTGTTTGGTGCTGATGCTAACCATTGATTGAAAAAACACCGATCCAAATCAATCACCAATTTGGATTGGGAATTGGTGGGGAATGACCCGGTTTGCACCGGAACCAGGAATTGGTGTGATTTTGAAATACTCAGCTGGCTCTATCAAAAAGTCTTACTAGTATGTCAGGGAACCAGGCATTTTGGATCAGTTGTATTGCATGGTTCGCACACATTTAATTATTTATTATTTTTGTTTGTTCTCTAATTTAATTTTTTTTTTTGGACCGATTCTCACACTAGAGAATCAGACCGATCCGGCCGAATCGGTGAACTTGGTCCAGCAGGTAATGATCCCACCACCCCATTGGGGTTCTAAAACACTATGCTAAACAAGCCTAGGTACTCTTAATTGTGCACAGTGTTTATTTCAGACATCTTTATAGTTTGCTTCTACTCCATCTCCTCTTTCTTCCCACAAGGTACAATGTCCATCTCTTTTTCTCCTCCTTTCCATGCCATCACGATCATATCCTATCTCTTCCTCTTCCCATCACAACCCACAAAACCCTAATATCAGCCCCATCCAAACTCAACCCTTAGCCTTAGATCCTAGCCTTTACACTCCAAACAATGGGAAAACTAGGTCAACATCAAACTTACCCATATACGTAACATCTATTGCCTTTAAAATCTAATTTGAGCCCTAAATATCATTTACATCATTGTCACACCTTGCAGGACTCATATAAACCAAACTTTACCCTTTTAGGAACCATACATTGTACCCCAATCATATTGCCCTACCCAGCCAAATCATTCCCCATAACCCTAACCCTAATTCTACATCATCTAGACCTCATATTGCCCAATATTACCGCAATTAGGAAACCTCTATAAGGGCCAAAGACTTCTGTCCATATCTCTGTAGGATCCCAAAACCCTTAAGGACTTTTTAAGTCTGAACCTAATTAGAACTCCCCATTCAAAAGCCCCCCTTGCATGCCACATTCGTATAGGAGCCAAGGCCCCTTGGTCCTACATCAGATCTATGTTCCTCATACTAAAATCGAACCAAATGTCTTGTACTCAAATCAAACCAAACCCAAGGAACCAATAGGGTACATGCATGAGGGACACAGGGGAGTGAAGCATAATAATGCAAGTACCCCAACAACAGCATGATAATTACACCATAGGACAGCACGGGACCCTGACAAATAGAAAAGACAAATGGAATATAGAGTAAGACGTGCCTAACTTTTGACAAGCTCCATGAATCAAAGAATCCACCTTCCCTACCCCCAAAGGTAAGGCCAAAAAAACTTCCCTCTAATATGCCATAACTATTGACCTGGGCTCTCACCACAATAATTTACTCCCATTAGCAGCTAATGCTTTAAAAAAAGCCAGTTAGGATCATCCCCATGAAAATAAATAAGAAAAGAGCTAAATGACTAGAGAATACAATTTACAAGCAATCCTAAATGATAGTACTAGGCTTTTAGTATTGCCACATAGAAACAGTAAATTCAGTTAACACTCAGAAAAAAAAAAAAAAAAAGAAGGAAAAAGAGACGGTAAATGTAATGCAATTAATATGAGTTTCACATGTTGCATTCTTCTAAGTTTCCATATTTTAGACTCATAGAAACTTACAGACTAATCGTATTATCAGTGAAATACACCTTGTAATAAAGATGAGCACTTTACATGGATGCATCAGGTTTTCCTCAAGTAAATATGCATCTTGAATCCAAGCAATCCTTCCAGCATCAACATTCTAATATAGGTGCCATTAAGGGCAAGTTCCAAAGACTAGTTTCTTAGTTTGCAAGAACAAGGTAACATGAACAATAAACACCTAACTTACATAATTTACCTTTCATTAGCTCAGAATTTAAGCACATGGGAATGGGCAAGCATTCAATACATTATCATAGAATTATTTCCTAGGTTGAAAATTTACTGCCCCATGCATATTTTACCTAAAACAAGAGTTGAAAGGTAACCTCTAAATTAAATTAACTCTCAAGGATAATCAGGTGATCCATTAAATGTAATTAGAAATGCTATATAGGATGCCAGCACCATGGAGGATCATATTGATCGAAGGAGATACCACAGATAAGTAAAACTTGTCATCCCTATAAAGCTACAAGCTCCATAGATAGAGAGAGGGTCTCTAGAAAAGAATTGAACACTTGGGAATTCAACGATTAAAGAAAAAAGTCAGTATTTGGGAACCCTATCCCCCTCCCCCAATAATTACAAAATGTGTTGCCCGTATCCATCAATATTTGCATACATTTTGTGTTTTGATAGTGACTATTATCAAAATAGAAAAAAGAAACAAAGTAACAAATTGGACTTATACCTAGCCAAAAGAATACAAATAGGACTTGTAAGGATACCTAGGGGAAATATAATGTGGCTTATATGATCCTGGTAACAATATGGTCACGGGATCATCAATTGGTTGGACAGTAATGGAGGGATAATCGGCCGACCAAACATGTCATTATTCAATTGAATGTCCAACTCTCCCTCCATCACTGTCCAACACATTGACTGGATGGTGACTCCTATGACCCTTCTATTGCCATCGATCATATGGGTTATAGTATACTTTCTTCAATATTAAACTTGTTAGGGAATTTATAGTAATTTTGTCATCCAACGTAAAGTAGAAAAATAAGAACTACCAGTATTATATAGTAACTGCAAATCCAAATTTCATTAAATGTTACCATCAATACATGGCACCAAAAAATTCCAAAAGAAGAAATACAAGTAACCGGCAATTGTGAAGATTCAAAGTTCAGACTCCCATTACTTCTACGTTGTGAGCTAACCTGATGTTTTCCAGCTCTAACTAGTTTGACACGATCTCCTCTGGATAAGACATGAACAAGAAAAAAAAAAGACATTAGCAAAACTTTCATTCGCACCAGATAAACATAAATGCAATCAGCTGAAAAATTTGCAGCTGCATACCCATTTTCCACAAAGGAAATTATAGCTTGCAAAGTTGCAGAAAATCCAGCTAGCTTATGTTCGTCTCCATATCTGGAAAATACACACGCAAAACCTGATAAACATTACCAATATTGATATGTACTTCATAATTGAAATTGGCTAAAGTTAATGCTCTTTAATAAGAAGAAGATGAGCAAACCTGGAATATATTGGCTTCCCAGAGTGACTTAACACAAAAAAGTGTTTCTTCCTTTTCCTCCATGAAATTGAAGCATCATCCTGCACTTTTCACATAAATAATGCCAAGCAAACACGAAGGTCACTTAGCATATTAAAAATCTGAAATATAACGGTGTAAGTTGTTGTCTTTAGGAGCAGACACCAGTCACTTAGCATACTAAAAATCTGAAATATAACGGTGTAAGTTGTTGCCTTTAGGAGCAGACACCAGTCAGCATAATTATATCTATAATGCGAATACATATATTGTTAAGCTAACAATTACTACAGCTGCTGCCAATTCATCCACATATAAGATGATCAATATCTGGGTCAAGTTTCCTCTCGATCAGCTTGAACAAATATTTAGAAGCAAGAGAGGCACGCCAGGTGTACCAGTTTTACTAATGATCCCAAAAACATCCACAAGGAAGTTTGTAGGCTGTTTCCAGAAAGAAAAGAACAGAATACCTCTTCTTCCCAACTCTGTAGGAGTTGGACTATTATACGGACCATAAAAAGTAAAAGCGCAGCTTTGACAAGAGAATCAAAACCTGTTTCTAGGGGTTCATAACGTTACACCCACAGCAGGTCAGTGGACAATCTCAGCAAATAGACATTACACTAGTTTCAGATGTTTAGCTAATAATTATTGAATACAAAAAAAGAAGGAATTATTGAATAAGTTGTGTCCTAGGAAATGCATTACTTACCATCCACTGCTTTCTGATGATCAGAAATATCCACTCTTTTATCATTTTTCTTCATTCTTATGAAGAAAACAGAATACGATTCTATAGTTGGGATTGTGAAACAACCAAAAATATGATTCCAATAAACTTTTATGAATAGTATTCATGCCACTAACAGAACAGCACAAATATATGCACATAGGCCATAATACAGGCAAACAAAACTTAGAGCTTGTGATGTTGCAGAAAATGGGGCAAGCACACCCACAACAAGCTTCCCTAAAAATAATGCATTTATTAATTCATTTCCATATAACTCATAGTTTCTTTATGTAAAAAATTCCATACCAATTTATAAAGTGTAGAACCCATTAGACTTACCTCTAGTATTGGGTCAAAATACAGTCTAGTCATCCCAAGTTCTTTCAGTCAAGAAACTGTTGTTGAATCTAGAAAAGTTTGCAAACATTTCTTTTAAATTAATATAACTTTGTCAATCTGGGTAAGGTTTTTTCTGTTAACTTCAACTTAAACCTAGGATTGTGTATACCCAAGAAGTATTTCGAGTAGTCATAATATGGACATGTGAGGCAACATGGACCTTGCAAAAGGAAAGACCCAGCTCATGAGGAGCAGGAACATACTTCCTCACGCATTCACATTTACTTCTTGAGTTTCACAATTTGAAATGGTCTACAACCTAGCAATGAGATGGGTGAGACTATTCTAGATTTCGCTATATCCTACGACCTAGCAACAGCAAAAACTTACTTTAAAAAGTGAGACGGACATTAAATAACCTATAAAAGTGGAACACACAAAAGCGAGATAGACCTCTTTCTAGTTAATAAGATAGATCGACCATCATGTAAAGACTACAAGGTTATCCCAAGAGAGAGTTTGACAACCCAACATAGGCTCGTGGTCATGAACGTCTGCATAAAGACATGAAGGAGAAGGGGTGAAAGTAATGGGCATCCAAGAACTAGGTGGTGGAATTTAAAAAATGAGCAGATAGACTTATTTAGGGATAAATTAGTTGAAGAAGGAAAATGGAACTCTGAACATGATATCAATGTAATATGAAATGAGATGGCTGAATGTATCAAGAAAGTGGCAAAATAAGTTTTAAGAGAATCTAAAAGAAAAGAAACTTCGATAAGGAAACTTGGTGGTGGAATGATTCAGAAGGCCATTAGCGAAAAACTATCATTTTATAAACTTAGCAGTGTAATAGAAACAATCAAAACTTAGAAGAATATAACAATGCTAAAAAAAAGCTAAACAAATAGTAAGTGAAGCTAAACTTAAGGCATATGATAATCTCTACAATAAACTGAGAACAAGAGAAGGCGAAAAAGATATCTTCAAATTAGCAAAAATAAGAGAGAAAAAGTGTAAGGATGTAAATCATAGTAAATGCATTAAGAGTGAGGATCAAAGGGTCTCGATGAAGGATGAAGAGATCAACGAAAGGTAGAGAGTCTATTTTGAAAAATTATTGAATGGCGAACAAAATGGTAACATGGTGGTAGAAGGACTGTTGGTACAAGTGACAGCACAGGTCATAGATACTTTTGTACGATTAGGATGTCGGAAGTGAAAGAAGCTTTGAAAAGGATGAAGACAGAAAATGCGTTAGGACCAGATGGTATCCCGATAGATGTTTGAAAGTGCATGGGGGAAATTGGCATTGACTGGCTGACAAAGTTATTCAACAAAGTGTTAAGAACAATGAAAATGCGAGACTAAGGCATGAAACAAAGAGATCAAGCTTATTAACCATACTGTGAAGCTTTGGGAGAGAGTCATTGAACAACAACTAAGGCATGAAACAAATGTATCTGAAAACCAATTTGGTATTATGTCAGGAACGTCAACAACGAGTCAACAACTAAAGCTATTTTCCTACTTAGACAACTGATTGAGAAGTTTAGGGCGAAGGGAAAAGACCTCCACATGGTCTTTATTGATCTAGAGAAAGCTTATGATAAAGTACCTCGAGATTTGATTTGACAAGTGATGGAAAAGAAAGGTGCCTCTAGACACCACATCGACTTGGTGAGAGATATGTAAGATGGAGCGATAACTAGTATACGACTAACTAATGGAGAGACAAGTGAGTTCTCAGTGACAATAGGTCTACATCAAGGGTCAGCATTGAGCCCGTACCTCTTTGTCTTAGTTATGGACGACTTAACTAAGCACCTACAGGATGAGGTACCGTGGTGCATGTTGTTCACAGATGACATAGTTTTGATTGATGAGACCCGAAACGACGTCAACACAAAGTTAGAACTTTGAAGGGATGTTCTTGAATCCAAAATTTTTAAAATTAGTCAGACTAAGATATAGTATATGAAGTGCAAATTTAGTAATAATAGGAGTAGAGACAAGGAATTAGTTAAGCTTGATAGTCAGGAAGTACAAAAAAGACCGCACTTTCGATATCTTGAGTCGATAATTTAGGAAAATTTAGAGATCAAGGAAGATGCTGCACACAAAATTAGAGCTGCGTGGATGAAGTGGAGATGTGCAATTGGAATTTTATGAGATCGCCGCATACCAATGAGGCTGAAGGGCAAGTTCTATAAGACAATAGTGAGACTAGTTTTGCTCTATGGGGCGGCATGTTGGGCGGACAAAAAACAATATACCCATAGAACAGGTGTAGAGGAGATGAGGATGTTGAGATGGATGAGTAGCAAGAGAAAAAGGGATAGAATTCGCAATGAATCTATTTAAGAGAATTTAGGCATCACGCCAACAGGCGATACAATGAGAGAGAGTAGACTTAGGTGGGCTGGCCATGTGTGGCGCAGACCAAGTACAAGACCTGTTAAGAGGTGCGAATTAGTTCAAGTGGAATGACAAAAAAGGTAAGGGGTAGGGCCAAAAGGGCGTGGTTAGAAAAGAGTCTAAATAGATATGTGGACTTAAGGCCTCACTGAGGATATGGCCTTTAATAAAGCAGAATGGAGAACCAAGATTCATGTAGCCGGACCCAATTAATTGAGAAAAGGCTAAAAAGATGATGTTTCACAATTTGAAATGGTCTCCTTTGGACTGCTGATGAAAAGCTCCCATTGGCATGGGAAAAAAAGGAAGAGCGGAGAGAGAGGGGGATAAGTTTGGGTGCAACAATTAAGAGGTGAATCAAAATGAGGAGTGGCAAAGGCCAATGTTAGGTATTTCATCTTATAGATTGCATAAAGTTTCTCCATTATTTTTGGTTGGGCAATTCAACAAAGTGAAACAACAAGCATGAACTCTTGCAATTTAACATTTAGCACATTGAGGATGGGAAGAATTTCACTGCAACGCAGGTACAACAGGATTAGGTCCATAAAAGCACCTTGAGTTCTATTTGATGTTTACTTGAAAGCCTCAAGGACCTCAAGGAACTGCCTATTTGGATATCCAAAAGGGACTTCTCAACAACATCTAGTCCAAGGGGCTAAGTTAAAGACTGAATATAGGGTGCTTACTGAAGAGGGAGTCTCCACCTCATTTTATTAGGTCGACTATTGAAGAGGGAGGCCCAGCATCCTTTTATGGCTTTCTTTAGTTCTATTGCCAACAAAAAAGTATATTAAAAAAAGATAAACAAAGACCACAGAAGTAGCCCAAGGGATTTTATTTTACTAATAGGCATTTTTCATAAAGAGGAGATGAGCGGCAAGTGGATTGTTTTGGAGTCCTCACGAGTAGCCTAGGTACTTCTCTAGAGACTGTTTAGGACTCAATCAGCTCTCCCACTCCTTTAGTGATCAGAGCACATGAGAATTGATCTATCCTCTTAAATGGGTCTCTTAAAAACTGTAAAATGTGCATTTGTGTGCAGAACTTGCTATTTTTTGGCAAAGTATTTCTTTCCACTAGCAACTGAGATAATGTGACCAATGTTCAAAAAGTCGGCCGCCCGACTGCCTAGGTGGCTTTTTTGAAAAAACGCCTAGGAGGGCCAGAACTAAGCGCCCGCCTAAGCGGTTAAAAAGGCAGTAAAAGGCACCCGCCTAGGCGGTCTGAAGAAGTATGGCGGAAAAAAATTTCAGGGAGGACCAAACAAAGTCATTTTACCCCCTTAAGTGGGATAAGGGTTTGGGGGGTCATTCTTGCCCCCAAAAACAATTTTAGTTGACTTTAGAATGAAAAACAACTTGAAAAAAACTAGATTGGAAGATTTTTCGAGAGATCGAAATTTTTTTCGAAATCCTCAAATGGTCATGATATTAAAGGATATTCAACCCCAATCTTTTTTAGGCTTATAGGAGTTGTAAAAGAGGAGATTTGGGATCCCAAACATTTCGGTTTGGCCCGAAATTGAGTCCACTACAAGAAGGTTGGTATATTTCAATAGTTTTCATCAGGTTTTGTATTTTTTTCCCTTATGTCTATTGTCTAATGATGTTATTTTTTGCTATGTATATTTTTTATTTTTTATTTTGTGATATATATCTGATATTTTATTGTCTATTTGGATTATTATTTTATTAGTTAGTTTAATAATTTCTTAATTCTTAATTGCTTATTAAATATTGTATGTGCAATGTGTTTTCTCGATGTATGATTCATAAAGCATAATTATTTTATTAGTTAGTTTAATATTTGCTTAATGCTTATTAAATAATTGCATGTGTGATATTCTTTTTCGATTTTGTGTTACATCATTGCAATTTTGATGTGTATGTTTTATCTAGATTTATTTTTTGGCTTAATAAGAAGCCAATACATTAAAGGGCCAATGTCACTTCCTATTTGTATAAGAAGTCAATGAATACAAAACTTACTTATTAAACAGACAATTTTATATAAAATAAAATTGGGCAAGGTGTGGGGGATCCAAATTTTTTATAAAAACAAAAATTGGCTTTTTTGGGTCTGGGCTGCCGCCTTAGCACCTAGTGGCCCAGTCTCCCCCCCCCCCCCCCCCCCCGGTCCCTACGGCCTCCTCTGACTTATTGAATGTGACTGAGGAATATCACATGTCACTACAATAGTTTGTGATATGCCGTACAATGTTTGATATCACAATAATCATTTTAACAACCAACTCATTATATGATAGCATCCAGTAATAATATGTAGTATTTAGAAAGCACGTGGCCCATTTCATAAAACATAAACAAACAAACAACAAATTCAGTATACAAAAACAACTTGAATTAAACTATAGAAACTCAAATTGGACTTTCTCCTGAAATAAATCAATTTCACCTTGAAAAAAAACCCAAACCAAAAAAAATAACTGTCTTTGCTGCATGTTAAAACTTAAAAGATTGGGAATGATGTATTCAATGAAAAAAAAGAACAAGCCCGACCTCATTTAGATGTCTCTTTCCAGCAACCCATGAAGCACTCTCTGAGAATTCATCAACACCATTATCTGGTTCAGTCCCACCACGATCAATCTCTTCAATTCCACTGAAGCTCCCATCACTCTTTGTGCTGCTACTACCTGCATAGCCGTTGCTGCTAGGGCTTGCAACTGAAGCCATAGCATCAATATCAGGTTCCAATTCACGCACATTTTCAGGCTCATTCTCAATAGAAATTGCGTCCAACTTGTTATCAGGAACTTGGTTCTCTGCAAAACTTAGGGTTTTAAGATGATCTTCAGCTGATATAATCTCTTGATTTGTATCATGGAATTCCTCCGAATTCAGGGGTTCAGAACAAGGCTCCCTGCATTCACTGGGAGATCCATTTTTGCCCCGAATTCCTTCAATCTCCGCATCTTCAGCATGGATTTCATCTCCCACTGATCCCCGGGCTTTCAGACCATCTTCTACCGTGACATTCTCAACATTTGAAGTGTCAATCTTCTCCAAAGTGAAGGGCTTCAAACCATTAGCCGCCTCAGCCTCCATGGCCTCAGAACTTCCCCCATGGGTTTGCTCCACAACAGACGTTTTTGGAGTCTGTTCTCTACCGCTTGCAGGTGGAACTTCTGCTTCAACGGCGGGCTCCTCTGTTAAATTGGAAGCCATGAATCTCAGAGGAGATAGAGGATTAGGGCAAGGATTGGAAGAATAGCGTGGAACTGATGAGAGAGAGAGAGAGACGCACCTGCCAGTCAGTAAGTATCAGTTTTTCTCTCTAAGGTAGGGTATAGATGGCGGGTGGCGGAGGGTTTGGGGGCATGGCTGATTGACCGGTTGTTGGACAACTCAGCCTCGGCCTTGGCCTTGATAACAGCAACTTATTAATTACTGCTCTCATTTTCATGCGGCCAGGCCTGCACATGTAGAAATGCCGGCCTATTAAAAATCTATTTTTGAGATGGATTTTTGGATTTATTTTTTAAAGACACGGAATCTCTTACGTGGAGATCATGAATAATAAGAAATAATAATAATTTTTTTTAAGGAAAAATGATCCTATAAGATCTTCTCTCACTCATTTGCGTAGAACCTCAAAAGAGCATCATTAAATTTGACACCAATCTATAAAAAGCCAAGTTCTCATGAGATAACTTTTTTAATTTTTCACTGATCCGTACCAACTTTAATGATAATCATTTAAGATCCTATATATACATGGGTAGAAGAAGGTCATATAAGATAATTACTCATTTTTAAAACTAAAAATAATAATTATAGTAAAAAAACATTTGGACTGTTAGTTTCCATTGTTTTTTAGATACAACACCTACTCGCGTCCAACTTTAAAATGGATGTTTTACACTTCTAGGCCGTAGTAATGCGAAACCATTTTTTATATGTATATTGTGCTCTCGTGGGATCATAATGTGTGTTTACTTCCTCAACTAATACATCTAGCTAGGATGATTTTTAAAGCTGCAATTTTGGGAATCATACAATAATTACTAGATGATAATTTTTAAAATAAAAATTTAAAATTTAAAATTTTGTGACACCTAGATCTATTCTTTCAAAAATTGGACGGTCTCTATTCAATCTTGAAGCACTTTTTTTCTAGTATATAAAGAGTTATTTTGGATGTTTCTTTTACTAGGATTATTCTATGAGTTATAAAGATTATATCCCCAAAATTTTAGATATAAAAAGTATCCGTAACATGTATTTTACCCGAGGGAGTGAATGGATAGTACACTCCCTCGAGAGTAGATATATGAATGAATGAATGAATAATAAAAGTGGCTACCACATCCCCAATGGCAAACTCAAGAAATGAAAATTTTCTACTAAGGAAAGAAAAACAATGTCCTAGGTGATCCAAATTTTGGATGGTTAGGCAGTTAAAAATTCAAATTTTCTACTAGCTGATATTCTTTAATTTTTATTCAATTTTTTTTTGAGAAAGTATACAATGAGACAATTTACCTTTGGTACAAAGTGAGACATTAATTTTGACTATTGAATGTGAAATTGGGTGGCTACAATTATTCCATTGACCAAGTTCAAACTTCAAAAGAAATTTTCTCAATCTTTGTGACACATCCAAGCTATCAAATTCACATTGGATGGTTGTATGTAATTGTGACCACATTGTATCATAAGTAAATAGTCACATTGTATACGATCCCAAATTTTATATCTAGGGATAATATTGTAAGTATCCAAGAGAGTAATTTACAATATGCTCTATGCCCTTAAATACATGAAACATGTAAGAGAAATTTTCCATGACCGACACATGTAAGAGAAATTTACCATCATGCCCCTCGAGAGAAATTGACTTCACGTTTCCCAAAAGTAATGTTTTATGAAAAGGAAAATCAGCATAAATAATTCTTATACAAAAAAAATGGTGCGGTTTGTAGGCGCACTTTTAAAGATATTTTGTTGGAAATAATTATGATGGTCTAAAAATTTGCTTTTACCCATAACTATGAAATTTAGAACTCCAAAAATGATGCAGATTGAGAAGATTTATAAACAATGAAAAATCTTGAAAATAGATAGTCCAGTGAATGCGTTAGAAGATGATTATTTCGAAGACCTGAATTTTTTTTTTTTTTTTTTTCTTTTTCATATCCATATCTCTTGAGCTATCAAACAAATAGTTTTCCAACAACCACGCAACCTTCTCTCATGGATTTTTTAGGTGCTCCCTACTCCAATAGCATTAGGTTGAGAGCATTGTTTACCGCCAAATCTGAACATATCTCAAATGAAAACTTCCCTGGGTCTATACTTTAAATGGTTAAAATTTATAATCAATAAAGATTGTGGGTATTGGTCAAATTACAGTTTAGAGACCTATCCTAACCTCAAAAGACAAGGTTGGTTGGCCTGAACACCCGAAGACCCAGAGTGCGGACCCATATCATACTGTGGTTGATTCACTACTTTGCTTTCTCTTTTCTTGAAGAATATGTACCTAGGGTTTGGTTGCTTAGGGTGTTATAGGCTTATGAATTAGGTTTTTGAATGTTGTATGGCATTAGGGTTGTAGAGAATTAGCTTAAGGTTCGATAACCTAGGATTTTATAGGATTCTAGCTATAGGGTTTCTCATGCTCTAGGGCTTCTAGGATTTCTTTAGCCTAGCGGATTTTCTCTAATTTTTTATGATTTTTCAGGATTTTAATTATTTAATTTCTAAGGGATTTTTGGGCTTTTTTATGATTTTCTATGGATTTTAGGTCATGAATTATGAGAGGCTAGTGAAGGGCTTATTTGAGTTTAAATTTGGGCACTAATTCAATTGGATTAGGACTTCTAGATCTAACATCAGGCTTGATGACAAGGTTTGACTAGTCAGATAAATCAGACTTCCGTTGGGTACAAAATTCTAGAAAAGTCTCTTGAAAACACTTTCTATCCATACAGAATTAGAGTTCGGGCTAAGAAAAAAGTGTTTATTTAGATTGTATTGAGTTTCCCATAAAATCTTGGCTCATTCCTGGTCAGCAACACGGATTGTATAGCTAGAATAGATCTAGACCAACTTTTGGGGTGTTGTCGGACCCCCTGCAGATCCCTTTGGTAGTGGTTTGATTCAATCATGAGGTGTTTAGGGGTTCCGAGATTGGTTTTTTAAGGTTTCACCGCTTTCTTAGATAACTTTGAATAAATCAGAATATCTTCGCACAAATTTTAGTTAATTTTCGTAGATTTGGTAGATTTGATTGGATTTAGAAGAATTTTACCTAGATTTGGTGGTTTCTCTAGGGATTATGAACAGATGAACTAGGCTATTGTGGTCCCGTAGTTCTGGGTTACAAGTTTTAAGGGGTTTTTAGAAATTAAAGAAATTAACCAATTTCAAACTAGGTGTCTATAATCCTATATAAATTTTTTATAGAAAAATATCCCACGCATTTTTACATTTTATGGGCATGTCTCATTTTTTAATTTTTTTTTCTCCAAAACACCCTAGTTTAGAAACGCCCAAGTTCCGAACCTCTGTATTTTTTTTAGGCCTAGGTTTTGGTTCGAAACTTCAAATTTTGAAATGAAATTTTGTTTGAAAGGAAAATGACTCGAAACTAGAATTTATGAAATAATACTATATCTTCTTCATCATCCAAGACTAATCCTAGTTATTTGGAATCGGCTACATGAATCATGTTCCTCTATTCTTCTCTATCAAGTGTCATACTCTTAATAAGAAAAAGTCAGCACATATTTTCTTACTATTTCTATCTATGTCCTTTTTAGGCTTCCCCCCTTTTAGAACCTTCTACTTGAATTAAATCCCACGTCCTAACCACTACTTTATTGGATTCAGTCTATCTAATGGCATTTTTTCTCATCTTATTGCCTATCGAAGCTACACATAAGTTTTTTGTATGTATTTATTTAGAATTCTATCTTTTCTTGTCTTACCACTCATCCATTTCAACATCCTCCTCTAAGCTATGCTCATCCTAAGGATATGTCGTTTCTTGACTACCCAATATTCTCTCTCATAAAGCATGACTGGTCTTACAGCTGTCTGGTAGAGCTTCCCCTTCGGTCTCAATGGTATGCAGCGATCATATAAAACTCTCGATGCAAGCATGACCATCAAGCTTAACTACTTTTCCGTTTTTACTCTTATTATTACTAAACTAAATTATGTATATTCTGTCTTAGCATAAAAAATTTTAAAACATCTAGATTCTAGAGCATCCCTCCAACATTCTGTTTTAAACTAATTCGCACCTCCTAACATAATACCTCTGATATATAATATAAAAGCTAAAAAGCTCAACATTAGTTAATATACAAATTTGAGTAGGAGAATGTCAACAAACCAAATAGGCTTATATAAGACCAGACCAACATATTAACTACATGATAAAACTTAAACATGTATGAATATGGCAAGGAAGAAAGTTTAAAATATTACCAAGAACTAGAAAAATATCCTCCGATGATTGACCTAGTTAGTCAGAAAATGAGGAACATAGAGTGTTGAGGAGAATGGAAGGATATCAACATATCCTTCAAAACCGAAGTCTGGATATTTCCTAAGAAATTTATATTTCTTCCCCATCTTGTTCCGGGTCCTCAACTTGTACAAAGTGAATTCGAATGGAAGACGATTGCTGCCTGCAGCAAGGAGGACAAAACTATCATAAAGATCAAGTTTTAGATGTGACACTGCCGCCTTATCAGTAATAATTAATGGAGTCACCTCCTTCCAATCTTTGTGAGGGCTCAATTCCCATATTCTAAGCTTTTCCCCTCTTCCTTCTCTTGTTCTTGATTCATAAGCCAACCAGACCTTCCCTTCTGAAACTATGAAATGGTAAAAGTTGTCAATTTCATCTTTATCTTTAACATTTAAAGGCAAATCAATGATATCCTACTCCAATTGGGGTCTGGGCGCTTTGGAGAGATCATAACATGCGCCTTTTATGCACTTGAAGTCCCTCTACCGATTTCCAATGTACAGTTGAAGAGCTAAACATCCAATACTCATTAAGGTGTGACGTTGAAGATACATTTAATAATTAAGCTGCGGCGTTGAAGAAAAAACAAGTAATTTAAATATTTCGTTGTATGGGTCGAAATAAAATCCCACTCTATCTGGTTTAGCAAATAGCTTTGGGTGAACAATATGATATTGGGTTATAAGATTACATATAATGTATTTGCCTTGGTTAGATAATGTCCAAAAGCACACCAGGCTATGGCTACATCCAATTGCACCCACCATACTTGTATTTTTCAAACTTTAGTATGGCTTAAGATGTCTGAAATACTCGACATAAGAGATCTGTTGTTGAGATGATGGTGTTTGGCTCATATTGTGAATGAGGTTCAATGGATTGAATT